CTCCTAGCATGGCTGTTTAGATTTGGTTGAAGTAAAAAAAGCTGTATGATTCATTCAAAATTCTTCTTAAGCCATCAAATCCAACAGTTTTTATGAGAATCTGAACTGGCACATCCTGGTGCGGATATTTCTGCGCGCAGCATTTTTTGTTACGCATTCAGAGAATGGCTTCCCCGCAAACACGAGTTCCACTCCACAATTACGACAAAACCAAAATTGTGACAAAAATCGCCTCGTGATGGAAAAAGATGGGTAAAGCTTGATGCAAATGCAACTCAATGCTTCATTAATCGCTTAATATCCGCTTGTAAAGGCCGGAAAGCTAATCAAAAGAAGAGAGAAAACGGAATTAAAATGACTTACCACCCCGTATCTTGGTCCAGAGCTTTACAGTAATACTTGAAATTTGATCGCATAAGTACTCGTTTGACGTCTCCTAATGTTATCAAATCAGGTGGAACATGGACTTCGGTAAGGTAGGGAGTTGGTTCATCGTCAATGTGATAGTACACCTAAATTCAAAGAAATTTACCAGAAGACATACATCTAAAGAGAAAAAGTAGGGGTAGGGCATGGGCGTAATTCACAAGTTACGAGCCAAAGCAAAACGCGCAAACCGGCTGGCACTCCTTGCTAGTTGACTCGACACAGCAGGTTGATGTTAAATCGACTATCTTGGAAGCAAACGTATCAAGCCGTTTAATTCACGTTCATCCCAGAAATTCAATAATCAGTGACATTATTCCCCGTCTTATTCAGAAGTTTTGATCACCAAATGGATGGATGTCATTCTAATAATGACAGCTGAATGATGAATTCGACCCTCGAAACTTGAAAAAAAAGAAAAAGGCGATTCAACGGTTTAAAACTATTCAGTACAAGGCCAAATGAAACACACCGGCGTGGGACGTAGGCTGCCACGCCTCAAGAGATTTACACCCTTCACCTCCCTCCCCCCCCCCAACATCTCGGAGATGGAAGAGGGTGGATGTGTGCCTGGCATTTCCGGCGGTACACTGCACTTTTTCGACCACCGCGGTGGAGCGAGTGGAAAATTCAAATAGGAAGATCCCACTAAAACGGATTCTGCGCCATGCATACATGAAGGACGCGGCCACGCCCACCCCACTCCCGGGATATAGAGTGTACGCTGTGTCAACTAGCTAGGAATACCGATTTGCGTGCGATGCCGCGACTTCAATCTCTTGCGCAGGCCTCCTTAGGTAATGTGGAAGGAGATTCGCAACCTGAAAAAGAGAACCTCCACCACATTTTCTGGCTGCGTTTATACTTTGCGTCAGCGTCTCAAGTGTATGCCAGCGTTCTGAGCGGCCAAAAAATTTAGTTGGCGTTTTCGCGACTGCCTGCGAAAACGTTCAAAACGCTGGCGTACGCTCTAAACGCTCAAAACGTAAGAACGCAGCCTTAGACAGCGTTCAGACTTCGCGACAGCAGCGCTCCGGTAGCGCGAACGATCGATGCGCATGCTTTCGACTGCATCGATCGCGTCGAACGCGCGACCGAAACGCTGCCGTTGAACGCTGCCTTTTAGGGGTGGAGCTGATGGAAACCTAAATGATTCCGATATGGCTTACCTTCGTGCTAGTTGCAGGAAACGGTTGATTTGCTATAGTGCTCGGAGGTGCTTCCGATACCATTGAAACTTCACTTTCACCCATACCCGAAAGACCGCTCGTAGCTGAAACTGGCTAACTATTACGTCTCTTATGTCTGAAAAAATCTAATTTGTCCGTCCGTCATAGCAGATAAAGCTGATGGCTTTACACTTTTAGTTGAAAAATGGGATTGCTGAAAAATACATACCCCCTTCACGAAGAGCATCAGCCATAGTTTCCTGGTCTATTGTTTCATCGAGATTCAGTGCACGGGTCTTCTCTATAACAACATCCGGCTCAACACCGGACGAATCCTGGTCTTCCGCTTGGCCTGGGGAAGACATTCTGGAACAAGCAGGCGTTTTGTTATTGGACGAAAACACTAATTTGAACAAAAAAGAACGCAGCAATCAAAACATTCTACGGTAAGCGATCATACATCTTTAGAGCAGACGGATTTCAAGGAGAAACTGGAGTGTACTCCTCCGATCGAGTTACTCTAGCTTGAGAAGAAATGTATGTTTGCAGGATCAATAGCGAGAGTCAGGTGCGATATCGGGCGGATAGCATGTCGCAACGCCAGTCAGCAGTTCATTCAATGAACACAAACACTAAGATTACACGTATTTTACTGCCCCATCATACCACACAACTCATTAAACCATAACCTTAATGAAGTAATCCTCGACAGCTCTTTCTCAATTCGGTGGTAGGTGCTGCATGGCCTTTCGGTGGTTGATGGAGCGATTTGTCCGGATTATGCCGAAAACAAGCAGATCTCCAGTCTGCTGCATAGTGATAGTGGGTTTTTACGTCCAGTCTGCTTCATAAAGGGTGGACCGAGTTCTCCATGAGGCTAGGGGGTGGGGCTAGTGTATAAATAAGTTTTGCATGAGGCCGAAAATGTTGTAATTGTAAGGAATCCGGGGAAGGGGAATGGGCGGAGCTCCACACAGTGGGCGGGGCTTGGCCGCAGCCGACGGAGATAGGAGAAGTGGGGCTGAAAATGGCAAGATTTTGTGGAAAAAAAATCATAACTTCTATAAAAGTGCGCGGAGCAAGTCCATAGTGGGCGGAGCTCGTATGCGGTAAAGGGAGCTGTGAGTGACAAAATATCAAGCATCATAAGATAACTATTTCATTTTTCCTCAATATTTAAACAACGAAATCCGTCAAAAAAAACTTTTCAGTGTCACAAAAAAGGGACATGGCCGAGGGGTGCTCAAAAACTGCCCTTCATGTATACACTCTAGTTCGCTGCGGACGGTTGGGCGTGTCAGGCAGTATGAGTGTGTCACCCGTCAAAGCCGTTCTCTGCCTTCTTGTTGAAGCGCGCATGCGACAAAAAGTGGTAGAAAACGAGTAATACGAACGATATGATACAGTCATATCATTTGCTCGCTTTAACAACTGGTGGAGAACGGGTTTGGCACCGCGCCAAACTCATCCCGCCTGACACGCCCAACCGTCCGCAGCGAACTACACTATACATTGTACTGTGAAAGGGTCACTGAAAATGGATGCCGATGATTAAGGTTACAAAGAGGCTAATTTTCTAATAGATCCACTAATAATGGGCGGAGTCGTCGGAACGGATTCAAGTGTACCATTGAATAAAAGAATATAATGGACGAAGTGTATAAATAGAATACGTATGTAATATATGAAAGATCTATCACAAAAATTAATGGATCAACAATGACAGTAAATAAATAAAGCATTAAAACTGAAAAGTTTAGGCAATCTTTCGATTATACGCCCTTTCAAGGTGAAACAATGCAGAAAGGAAGCCTATACACATTTTCTTTTAACGACAGATTGAAGGACACCAAAAGTGCAAGAAAGCTATTACGTCCTTCATCGTGTCCGTTCTGGAATTTTTGAGATCTGGGGAAAATTACGGCGCAGTTCGGCAATAGGAGGAAGGAGGGGGAGGGGGACATTTTGCACTTTTGCTGCTTCACTAGTTCCGGTTTACAAGTCTCACTCTGTGAAACCTGTGAACTCTTGTGAAGCTGGAGCAAGCTCGTCGGGCTATTATGCTCAATGGTGAAATTTCATGGCTTTTTAAGATTTGATAGGTCTCCACAAACTGGCCGGTATCATTTCATAGTAGCTCTAGAGGAATTCACAGGTCTCCGCTTTATGGCTCGCATGTCGATGAGAAGTGGCAAAAGTGCAAAATGCCCCCCCCCCCATACTCAACCGTCGG